CGTTATGCCCAGCATCCTCCTGCCTTCGCCGGCCATGCACTGCGCGTAACTTCCCATTCAGGGTCTGCTCCCCCACCTCTGGCTGCCTTTGCTTCCACCCCACGAGACCCCTCTGAAGTTTTCCATCATCACTTAGAAAGGAACAGACCGACTCAGCTCGCTCCCAGGTGGAGCGGGATGACTACAGTGGACTTGAGACTTTTTACAAGAACCTTGTAAAACTCTTTCACCCCTCACACATTTTTAAGTTTACGTCCACATTTTTCATCATAACGTTTGTAGAAGATGCAGTTTCTAGTATATTGTAAACATGGATACTTTTAAGTAAAACTATTACATCACTGTTTTAAATTTATCCCGTGGAATCTAAACACCACAGCAATGTAATACCTACCATCATCCATTTTAAAAATGCACGAACACATTCTTCTTTAATAGTGTTCCTTTTTCTCCATGAAGTTTTATTTCTATTTCACTTTCCCCATTGAATTTTATCCTAATGTAATGTATGTAATATATTTTTATGCTTAAAACTCTTTCATTTGTTTCCCTGTCATATTTCTCTTAACAATTTTATAAAGTTGAAACTTTTTTAACTTCCTGAAATCATAAAGCTCTAAGTATTAAAATTTGGTTTGAGTTATCATTACAACTATTAATAGTCTGTAATTGATCAAAACAACATAAATGTATTACTGACTTGGATAAATAATTAATAAACATTATAAGTTAGATTATATCGAAAACGCATCTCTAAATGGTGGTCCTGGGTGACTTTTTAAAATAACCTTTTTTCTTGACGTACAACATACACACCTGGACACGACCTGTGTAGTGTGTAGCCTGAGCAGGGCAACGTTCACCTGACAGGCAAACCCACGTGTGCAGTGCTCTTCCTTGAAACCTCTTCAGTTCTGTTCTTCTGCCGGAAATAAGTTCTCCAGTCTCCAAATTCCCGTATCTCTTACTTTTACCCTTTTATTACGTGCTTCTCTTTCCCCTTTGTATTGTAGCTATTCATGTGACTCATCGCCTGTCACCTTCTCTAACAGTGTGCTCCTTAAGAGTGCACCCCATGTCTTAATCGTTTCTCAGCATTATGCCTTACAGTTAGTAGGTGTCTAATAAATATTTGTTGAACAGATAAATTGATGAATACACATCTTAAATGTCTCTGTATTTCCCACAGGTCCTAGAATAGTGTTGGGCTTTCAATAGCAGGGTCCCAGAAGGACGGATGAATTAATCAATGAGCAAAACAATGAATGAACAGATCAATGAACTAATGAGCCATTGAACAATGGCACGAAAGTCAGAGAGTTCCATCTCCTGTGAGACTCAAGATCAGCAGACTCCGTATAGAGGGTGTGGAGTGTATGACACCGGCTATTTCTAGCAGAGTCTCCCGTTGTGCATTTGCTTTTATAACTGGTCATGGCAGATGTAACTGCTCATCACAGAACATCCAGTAAACCCTTTCCTGTCTTTCGCATCTTGTCTTGCAGGTGTGAGCGGCCTCTCCTCACAGCAGTGGTGTGTGGTACATACCTCAGCCCGGGTGAGGATGTAAAAGCCCCCGCCCTGCACGTGACTGGTACAGGCCGACGGGAACACCTGGCTCCAGCCACGTTCACAGACATGTCAGCCGTGGAGTAGCGCAGACACTTTCTCTCAGCTTCTCAGGGTCTCAGTCCTTTTGGGTTTGTTTCATTTACCTTTTTTTATGGTTTTGTGGCTGGACGTTCACGACTAAGGCAGACACCATGGGGGATCAGCAGCTGTACAAGACCAACCACGTGGCCCACAGTGGTGAGAACCTTTTCTACCAACAGCCACCACTTGGCATCCACGGTGGGCTGAACCACAACTATGGGAATACAGTCACGGGAGGTGGAATGGACGCCCCTCAGGCCTCGCCCATCTCCCCCCACTTCCCTCAAGACACGCGGGACGGTCTGGGCTTGCCCGTTGGCTCCAAAAACCTTGGCCAAATGGATACCTCGAGGCAGGGGGGCTGGGGAGGCCATGCAGGGCCTGGAAACCATGTGCAGCTACGTGGCAACCTGGCCAACTCAAGTATGATGTGGGGGGCGCCAGCCCAGGCCGAGCCCACCGATGGCTACCAGTATACTTATTCCCAGGCCAGTGAGATCCGGACCCAGAAGCTGACTAGCGGTGTCTTACACAAGCTGGACTCTTTTACCCAGGTCTTTGCCAACCAAAACCTGCGAATTCAGGTCAACAACATGGCCCAGGTGCTGCATACCCAGTCAGCAGTGATGGACGGAGCCCCTGACAGTGCCCTCCGCCAGCTGCTGTCTCAGAAGCCCGTGGAGCCCCCAGCACCGGCTATACCTTCCCGCTACCAACAGGTGCCCCAGCAGCCTCACCCGGGTTTCACTGGTGGGCTGTCCAAACCAGCTATTCAGGTCGGGCAGCACCCTACCCAGGGGCACCTGTATTATGACTACCAGCAGTCACTGGCTCAGGTGCCAGTGCAGGGAGGACAGCCACTGCAGGCCCCACAGATGCTGTCACAGCACATGCAACAGATGCAGCAGCACCAGTATTACCCACAGCAGCAACAGCAGCAAGCTGGGCAGCAGCGTATCTCCATGCAAGAAATACAGCCGCAGCAGCAACAGATGCGCCCACCACAGCCTCAGCAGCAGCAGCAGCAGCTCCAGCTGCAGCAGCGGCAGGGTTCAATGCAGATACCTCAGTATTATCAGTCCCAGCCCATGATGCAGCATTTGCAAGAGCAGCAGCAGCAACAGATGCACCTGCAGCCCCCTTCTTATCACAGGGACCCGCACCAGTACACCCCGGAGCAGGCGCACGCCATGCAGCTGATTCAGCTGGGCTCCATGCCCCAGTACTACTACCAGGAGTCCCAGCAGCCCTACAGCCACCCCCTCTACCAGCAGAGCCACCTGCCTCAGCACCAGCAGCGTGACGACAGTCAGCTAAAGACTTACTCTAGCGACAGGCAGGCCCAGGCTGTGCCGAGCTCCCACGGGGACCTGGGGCCTCCTGATACAGGAATGGGAGACTCAGCAAGCTCGGACCTGACCCGGGTCAGCAGTGCCCTCCCTCATCGACCGCTCCTGTCCCCCAGTGGAGTCCACATCAACAACATGGGGCCTCAGCATGAGCAGCTGTCTCCCAGCGCCGTGTGGCCCCAGGTATTCTCCCAGTGGAAGTTTCTCCCAGTATGTCAGTGCTGCAGGGCCAGCCAGGGCTGTCTTTGCAGTGCCCAGTGCTCTCTCCAACCCATTCAAGCCTTTTGTTCTTTATTCATTGCTCAAACATTAGCAGTGTAAGCCCTGTCTATGCCAGGTGTAGATATAGATGTGCCAGATTTTGGAATACAAAATCAATTTTGATTTAGTCCTTTGCCCATGAAACTATACTAAGAAGATGTCCTAAACGATCATGTAATGACCAAGACCTTGAGTCAGGTGCCAGGGGACCACACAGTGGGGGTGTCTCATCCCCCTGGATCTATATCAGGATATTCTCTGTGGAATTGGTCCGCCTTTGGGAGAGAGACATTACAACAGCTCTTCTCAAAGTATATTGCTCACAACAGCAGGTCCACAGAATGTCTCATGGATATTGCTAGGGAAACAATGGATTCTCTGGATAAATAAATTTGAGGTTTCCTAAAATGAAACAGGTTGCTATACTGCAGGGCTTCTTGAGGCCTTCAATATGCCAGTATGTATTGTGAGTCTCCCAAAGGGGATACCACTCATAGTTGCAAAGATGAAAACCTTAGCTGCCCACAGGATCCAGACTGGTAAAGTGAATAAGCGAAACAGTCTGGTATGAGGCATTAGGGAGTGGTGGCAACTGCAGTAGACTGGCAAACAGATGCCCTATCCAATGGCATTCTCATTCAGGATTTTTTAAAAAACAGTCTAGCCAAACAAAACATGTATGCAGGCCAGATTCACCCTATGCACCATGGTTAACCCTTGATTAGTTCCCAAAAGTATTTGAGCACAAAATGGCCTACTATGTGCTGGGCACTGTTCATGCCTTGCCATGTCCCAGTGCTACACTCATGTAACAACAGGGGCTTGAGAGGAAGAGACCCCAAATAGGGACTGGTTGGGTGGAGAGAGGCCTCCGATGGAGGTTGAGAGTCAGAGATGAATTTCCTCTTGACTCTGTTTTGTCTGGGGCTCAGACCTGGTAGTAACCGAGAGCCTTGGTGAATATAAAAATGAGATGACATGGCCAAGGCTTTTAAGAAAGAATTCCAGCAGGTCTCCTGACATGATGCTGTGTCAGCCAGCTCTTGTTTCTGTGTCCCTTGTGGGAATGGAGTCTGTCTGCGCACATAGTGGGTGCCCTGGAACAACAGGACGGAACGTGGTGGGGAGGTTGCATCCCGGCAGGCTTCTGGCTGGCAGCAGGTCCAGGAGTGGGGCGGTGGTCCCAAGTCAGAGAGCAGTTAAGGAAAGAAGTCCGGTGTGGAAGAATGAGGGCGTACGTGGATGAGAGTGGGGTTAGCACGAGGCGGACAGAGGGAAGAGTCCTGGAAGGGTAGGATCTCCGTGCTCCACTGCTCAAGGATGCCTCCTTTCAAAAACACATTGTTTTCCTCTTTTTTTTTTCGGTGTCCTGCTTGGCTCAAAATTAGATGCACCTACCTGATGGGAGAGCCCACCCAGGGTCCCCTGAGTCAAGGTAGGTTGAGTGGAGGCTTGTTGGTATTTGGGGAGACTGGGAGGTTTTCCTGGGTTGTCTCTCACGGTTCATTTCTAAATTCAAAGTCAATTCCTTGAAGAAGTGTGTAGAAATGATAATAGAACTGTTGCGTTTGAGTGCTCATTGTATGCTAGGCATTATATATTATGCTTTGTAGTAAAGTAACCCAGTGAGGGTTCTGACCATGTGCCTGTACATGGTTAGCGCTGAATAATTGTTAGCTATTATTATTATTGTACAAATGAGAAAACTGAGGCTCAGAGAGCTTAAGGTTATGCATCAAGTAACCAACCATGCTGCAATTGACACCAAAGCCTGTGTTCTGTCCACTGTCCATTCATTCAGTAAGTATTTATTGAGTGCCTACTGTGTGTCAAGCATAAAGCTAGGCTTGGAGAATGCAGCAGTGAATAGTACAGACTTTCTTACTCTTCTCGTGGGCATGGTAAGTAAAGATTTAGCCAGAACCTGATAAACCGCTAAAACATGCAATGTGGAGGCTGCCCCAGAGGACGTAGACAGGTGTCTCTAAGGGAGGGCCTTGGACAAAGTGGGCTCAAGTGGACCTTGGAAAGGTCATTAGAGCCACAGGTGAGGAGAACCCAGTGCCTGGAGGCCTGGGATGAAGAAGGATGTTTTGTTCAACTCTTGCATGACTTTGAGGAAGCCCTTTCCCACTCTGAGCCTCAGTTCTTCATCTATAAACTGGACTTAGTTCTCTCAAGAGTATGGGGGTGATACAAGTGAGGCCATGGCCATGGAGCATTGGGTGAATAAAATGGGCTGTTTGTAGGGATGAGGTCCTGTGATAAGTCACTGATTCCCTTCCTCGATGTATGTGTCCTCTCCTTTTGGCCCTACCCTTGAGCAGTGGCCAAGCCAAAGGAGTGTTTGGGGAGCAGTTTGATGCCAAGAACAAGCTGACGTGCTCCATCTGCCTGAAGGAGTTCAAGAACCTGCCTGCCCTGAATGGCCATATGCGGTCGCATGGAGGAATGAGGGCCTCCCCCGGCCTGAAACAGGTTAGCAGGAGCCAGTCCCCAGTCCTTCCCGGGCCATGTGTTGCTTGCTTTGCTTTGCCGCCATCAGACAGAGTGAGGTGAGGCCTATGTGGGCACCTGGAGAGGCCCTGTCCTCCCTTGACAGGAATGCTTAAGCTCTGACCCTGCGGGGCAGCCAGGTCAAACAACCCCCAAACCCCCAAGGGTCAAAGCAGAGGTGCTAGAAAGACTTCTAGGGGATCCCAGCCTCTCCACCCTGAAAAGACAGAAAAGGAAAACATGTAAATGGAGTATTATTTTTAACTTCTGCCACTTGAAATGCCCAAGACCAGGGCCACTGGGGCCTTCCGGATCAGTGGTCAGTGGCTAGAGAAAGCTAATAACCATCAGGCTCTCAGCCAGCATTTTCTGTTCACCAGTGCAGTGGTGTTTGGCTCTAGCATCTAAAGATCCTTAAATACCCTCTGGGTTATCCAGGTAGGATATCCAGGTAGTGCACTATCCATGAGTTTTAGAGTTAAAGTTCAAAGAATTTCCTTAGAACTCTTTGAATATTGTTGACCCTAATTTAAGTCTATGGGATTAACTCTTTCTTAACCAAAATTCTGGATTACCCAGATCATTCCATCTCCTGGCCATGACAAATTGTTTTAAAAAGCATTGTCTTTACTTGTTAAAAATAACATGTTTTGCATTTCCAATGTGGTTTCCTAACTTGGCTAAAGTTGAGGATGGAATACCTGTTTCCATTTGACAAATGAGTAGACTGAGGCCCACAGAATTAAAAACTCCTGCACAAGATCAGACATTTTTTGGACTGATTACAAGCCCATGTCCTTTTCTTAAAAAGCAATGATGACCACAAAAACATTTTCAATATTTTAATATACAAGCAATACATGGTCTAGATTTTTTAACCGTAGAAAATAGAGTGCATGGCCTTGTCTACCACCAACCAGCATCACTCCGGCCAAGGACTCAGGGTTGCAGGAAGGAAATCACCCTGCAGTGGTTCTCTCTCACCCACACCTGACGTCCTGGAACCTTTCAGGAAAGCAAAGTGCATCCCCCCCTTGTGAGAGCTGCTCTCAGCCCAGGATCAAAGCCTTTATTGTCTGTGTAGGAGGAAGGAGAGAAGGTCCCGCCGCCTCCGCCCCAGCCGCCACTGCCGCCTCCGCCCCAGCCGCCACCGCAGCTCCCTCCCGAGGCAGAAAGCCTCACGCCTATGGTCATGCCCGTGTCTGTCCCTGTCAAGCTTCTCCCACCCAAGCCCAGCTCTCAGGGCTTCACCAACAGCGCCGTTGCCGCCCCCTCCGCCAGAGACAAGCCAGCCAACTCGATGTCGGACGACGAGATGCCTGTGCTCGTGAGGATGACCCTCTCTCCCCCACACTCACCCCAAGGGGCTGCCCCCCGCACGCCTGCTGTGAGTTGCTGCTCTAGCCCACCTGCCTGGGGTGGGGACATCCCTTTGCTTTCTTGGAGATGGGGCAGCTCTCCCAGAGTCACTGCGCTCAGCTCAGACGTGGCTTGGCCTCTCAGGGCTGAGCCCCTGTGGCCACATTGGAAAGCCATCCTTGTTCACACCGCTGCTGCCCATTAAATGCCTGTTACTCTACCAGGTTTCTGGTCTAGGTTAGATCCGGAGAAACCTGAAGGTATTCCCAGGTTTAAACAGAGATGATAAGTCAGCTGATAATCACTGATCCAACCATACCAGTTACTAAAATATGGAAGTACTGTCTCACATAGTAAATAGCTGTTGCCCAGGCCCTGGCCCCTTCCCTAGGATCTCAAGACCTCCCCAAATCCAGCAGCCAAAAAGGTAACCCCTGGCACATTGGGGCCTTCAGGCTGTAGCCCTGGAATCCATTCTGATGATCAGCCTTACCAGATGCTTAATATTGTTTTAATATCACACCTGCTTTAATACCTTGGAGAACCTAATTTGTTAAAATTCCCAAAGTAGTTCCACTGAGAGCTGCCCACCCCTAGTCTCAGGAAAGCAAAGAGATGTGTGTTTCTCACTGTTCGGTTCTCTTCTTTCTCAAATTCTAAGTGTTTCACCCAAGCAGCTTAGCTTGGCTGTGGGGCAGTGTTTCTCTCTCCCTCCCTCTCTCTCTCTCTCTCCCCCCCCCTCTCTCCCTCCCCTTCTCCCTCTCCCTCTTCCTCCCTCTATCCTCCGCTCCCACCTCCCTCTCCCTCTGTCTCACCCTTTGGGAGTTTGTACCCTGTGTGGTTGGCTCTATCAGACCTATCCCCTTCCCACAAAGTGCTGTGTTGGGTCAGGTCTGTTCTCAGAGAATAGGTGGTTGCTGAAAATCCAGGAGGCACAGGGGTGGGACTGGGCCAGCATAGAGGTAGGGAGGGTAATTAAGAGAACTAGAAAAGTCCAGAAAGAACCTTTCTGGTTCTCCGTGTAATATCAAGGTCTCAGAGAGAGAGACTGATGGAGAAGCTCTGGGGTGAAAATTCTCCTTAGTGGGCAGCACTGGGGCCAGTGACAGGCAGAGAGATGAAGTGACGTATCCAGGCTTCCTCTTTGCCCAGGGACATTCCTGATTTGGTGTCAGAGACACTGTTTCTACTTTTGGGGAACACTCAACCAAGGGTTCCTAGTCACACGGGTCAGAGTCCCAGGCAGCCCCCGCCAATTCAAGATGGTGAGAGAAAGACGCGGGCAGACAAGAACCGATGCCCTGGGTGTGGCTGGGTGGGAATACACCTGGGCGGCTCAAGTAATTAGGGACCGGGGAGAGGCAAGGGAGTTGGGCATGAGTTTGCTCAGGAGACCATCACTGGAGAGGTTTGAAGGAAAGGATGAACTTGGCTTAACAGAAGGGTGAGGGAGACATCGGCGCTGAGGAGACAGGCTGAAGTGGAGGTGCACAGGTGGGATGTAGAGCCTGAGAGCAAGATCCTGGCAGTTGATGTAAAGAAATTAAAACGTCCGGGAAGGAGCCCTGAATTCTCTCAGTGCTAGGCCCTGTGCCCAGAGAGTGCGAATAGTTTGGTGGGGTGGAACAGTGTAAATGCTTCTCAAGAGACATCCAGGTGGACATTCTGGGTGGCTTCTCTGGCCCGGTGTCTCCGAGCCTTGCCTGGAGGATGAGAAAATCTGGGTTTAGAGCTGAAATAACAGGAGGCTGGAGGAGAGGGAGCCCAAAAGGGACCTTTGGCCCTGTGATCAGAGGTCTGGATTCCAGTGCAGCATTGAGATCACATAAGGTCTGCATGTACTTAAGTGACCTCATCAGTTACCCAGCAACAGGGTGTAAAGTTTGGAGATTGCTCCCCAGATGAGGGGCATGGGCCTCCTTCCCCGTCTCCTCAGCCCCTCTCCAGGCCTCAGCCTCAGATGCTGAGGAGCCCTCTGGTGGGGGGAGGAGGCAGGGGGCATGTCTGGCCTCAGGAGAGCCCCCTGGGGGTGAGGTTTAGTTAGGATCCTCCACACTGGGGCCTTTTGTCTTCCCAGACTCCCTTCTTAGACCTTGGAAAACTAGGAAGCTGGAGGGTACACAGCCTAAGGTGCTGGAGGCAAGAGGAGCCCAGAGGGAGAGGAACCCAGAGCAGAGGGGCAGGTCACATGGCCTGGAGGCAGCTGGTCATGTGACCATAGCCAGCCCTTCCCATCACCCCCTGCTGCCTCCTACTCAGGCTCCACCCTGGGCACAGCAATCGCCAGAACTGGCTGTGACTAGCCCCTGGCCTGCAGGGCCCAGAAGGGTACCACAGACTATCCAGAACCTTTCCGCAGGTATCCCCGCTGCCCCTCCCAGCCGCCCCACCCAGCCACGCCCATCTCTCAACTTTTCTGGGCTGATGCTAGCACACAACCCCAGTCTGTTTCTGTTTGGCTTTGGCATGCCCTGCTTATCTATTTACGTGCATTTGTTTACTTTTAGTATAAATGTATTCCCGTGGCAGATCTTCTTCCAGACTGTGCTTGGTACGGCTGCCATTAGAATAAACTAACGCTGCTGACAGGAAGCCACCCTAGGGGAAGGGCTTGCTACAGATGAGCCACCAGTTCTGGGAGCACTAGTGAGAGGTGGTGAAGGGGTCGGCTAACCAGATCCGTTTTTTAAGAGAGCACATTAAAGGGGCTTAAAGATCCTAGATGACTCCCCCCATCCTGAAAGTTACCTACGAGGGCCCAGTGGGGGTCGCTGGCCCTGGAAGCCCTGGCGAGGCATGAACCCCCTCTTCCTGCCCCTCAGCCTCTACCCCAGCTTCCCCGAATAGATTATTCTGTCCCCTTCCCAGAACATGTGTTATCTGTCCCTGACGTCTGTCCCTGGGGAGCAGTGGGGGATTAAAGAACCCACTCAGCTGGGTTCCACTGAAACCAGCAATCAAGAATTCGAATTTATTACTTCTCTCCCACCACTATTCCTACCACCCCTAGCTCTTTCCAGACAGTGGGGACTTTTTCCAGAACCAAAGTTTTCTCCCAAGTCAAGCCCCCGGAACACGCTTTGCCTGCAATGGATGTCGTCAGAGTGGGAGGGGGTGACGCGGCCGGGAGCCCCCATTAGAACGGCAGAAGACCCCCTTCCTGGAACCTGTGGAAATGGTCTGTGGGGGAAACCTAAGGATTTGAATCAGATCGCTCTTGCCGTTTTAGGAAGTTCCCAGGAAGCATCAGCCGGGCGCCCCCAAAGCCGAGGAGCCCCTCAAGACCGTGCAGGAGAAGAAGAAGTTCCGGCACCGGCCCGAGCCGCTCTTCATCCCGCCGCCGCCCTCCTACAACCCGAACCCCGCCGCCTCCTGCTCGGGCGCCACCCTCTACCAGAGCCAGCTGCGCTCCCCGCGCGTACTGGGGGACCACCTGCTCCTGGACCCCACCCACGAGCTGCCCCCGTACACACCCCCGCCCATGCTGAGCCCGGTGCGCCAGGGCTCGGGGCTCTTCAGCAATGTCCTCATCTCCGGGCACGGCCCTGGCGCCCACCCCCAGCTGCCCCTGACGCCCCTGACGCCCACGCCGCGCGTGCTGCTGTGTCGCTCCAGTGAGTGCCCCTTTCAGCCGCCTCGGGCCCCGGGGATTCACTCCTGTCTGTGCCGGGTACTGCCCCGGGAGCACTCACTTCCTTTAGTTTTCTCATTTGTCCCACAGACTTTTGTGGAGTATCTGCTGTATGTACCAGACACTGTGCTAGGTGCTAAGAAAGACCTAGAGTAAGATACAGGCTTTATCCTCAGGGAAATCCCAGTCTAACTGGGGAGCCGAACGCATGAGTGATCACTGCAGTCTCTTTGGGATAAGGAAACAGTTGAACTGTGCACCCACTGCCCAAGACTGTGCCCCGGATGACTGTGCAAATAGAATTGGGTATCACATGCAAGAACAAGCCTTGACGTTTTAGCGTGCTTTATAAAAATCAACCGTGGGAGACCAGTAGCAGGACCTCTTTCTGCAGCAAGAATGGTGGCATAGATACCATAAAGCTTATCAGACACGTGGGGCAGCAGGCTTCTCACTCCGTGTGAGAAATGGGCAACCCCAAGCTGTTTAGCACCACACTCCATCCAGCTCCCTGCGGACTGTTGCGGGTACCTCCAGCCTGGGTCACGTAGGAAAGGACCCCTGTCGTAACTGGTTAGGTAACTGCTTATTTGCTTCAGTTTCTTCAATACCCCTTCCCTGTTGACCGGTGACCTCTGGTTTTTGTGTTTCAGATAGCATTGATGGCAGCAATGTGACAGTCACCCCAGGGCCTGGAGAGCAGACCGTGGATGTTGAACCGTAAGGAAAAGCTTCTTGAGGAGTGTAGTTAGTACTTCTGTGGTCGGAGAGTACACTGAGAGGGAAGTTTGAGAAATTATGGAATCATGGCTATTTCTTGAATGCTGTTGTTTCCCCATACAGTAGTTGCCAGTATTTCAAGGCCTTTGTCAAAAACTAAATGCATAGTAAAAGCATGAAGCCCGGTATTCAGAGAACCTAGTGTCCCCATCTCTGGCTCCACACACCAGCCTAGTTGTAGCCGTGTGCTTTCACATCCCCAGTGACATTAAGACGTCTCTCTTGGGGTACTCAACTCTCTAAGAGGCACCTTCTGAGTGTCCTCACTTTCCCCACCCCTATCTCAGATTCTTGGCCAGTCTCCATTGGGCCTGTTAAGTACTTGAGTTATGCAGTGGGATGTATTATGGAAGGGAAAGGCGGTTATTTTCATGGGTAAGCCCAGAAAAGAGGCCAGGTGGTAGAGTGATGAGCAGATTCAGTCAGGAATCAGAAAACCTGAGTTCTGATACTATTTTGTTATCTGATCTTGATTGAGTTAACCTTTCTAGGCTTTAGTTGATTCATAATACATGGGAATAATTATGACTGCCTTGCTTGCATCACAGCTCTTAATAAGGTTCAAACCAGATAATCTATGTGAAAGTGGTCTGAAAGAGATAAAAAAATTGAAATAAATGCTTTGTATTTGTCCCCTTTTTTTCTGTCTAAATGGTGCCATCGGCCATGCTCTGGGCAGCTATTCTCTTAGAATTGGCCACCCTCCCTCTCCCAGTTACTGGGAGATATATAAAGTCCCAGGCAGACTGCTCCCTTGCTCCCCAAACATCCCTCTCCAATCTTAAAGCTGTTCCTTATCCCAGTGATAAAAGCCATGCCTGGCATCTTAGGGTCACACTATGAGGAAATGCCCTGCATTCTTTTTGCAGAAGGAACTGGTTTCCCTCTTTTTCAAGTTCCTGACCATTGCCCTTGGCCTGGGCCATCAAATTGAACACCATACTGTTATTTTTCTTCTTTTCATTAAAGACGCATCAACATTGGCTTGAGATTCCAAGCAGAGATCCCAGAACTCCAGGATGTCTCTGCCCTTGCCCAGGACACACACAAGGCCACATTAGTGTGGAAGCCCTGGCCAGAGCTGGAAAACCACGACCTCCAGCAAAGAGGTACAGGCATGTGGGAAGAGCAAGGTGGGAAAGGCTTGATTATCTCACTGGGATTACTGGTTCCAGGTTTGGTGTGTTTTTCCATGATACTGAGCTCTCTCTGATGCAGTGGCTTTTCTTTGTTCCCAACAGTGGAGAATCTTCTGAATTTGTGCTGTTCAAGTGCGTTGCCAGGTGGAGGGACCAATTCTGAATTTGCTTTGCACTCTCTTTTCGAGGCCAAAGGTGACGTGATGGTAAGGAACCATGACAAGGAGGCTTCCCAGGTCATACTCTCCGCATCAGAATCCTGCAGAGAATTTTCCCAAGTCTCTGTTTTGTCCCATGTACCATACAGCCAGTTCGTAAGATGCTGACCAGCCAATATGCCTCCATGTTCCTTATCTCAATGAGGAGATAAGGATTTAAAAGCCTGTAGAAAAAAATCTCCAGTGGACTTATGTTTACACATCTGTTCCTAAGTTGTAACTGTGGGAACATCTGTCCTAGGAAATTAGAATTTCTTTTCATCGTCTTGTATTTCACATCAGAAAACTGAGTCTCCAGTGATGGAGGTAGAAGGCCTTACTGAAACAAGAGTTGGCCTGAAATAGCCTATTGTACTTTGCTAATTGTTCTTCCCTCCTATGGAAATCAGCTAAAGTTTGATGTTTATGGAACTCTTTTCTCCTCTAACCAAAGTGAAGTGTTTACTACGCACCAACTGGTTCCATTCTTCCACCTTTAACGTGGTTCTGCCGATGTCCCCCAACTGGAGCCTTAGTGCTGTCTTCCCACAATCAGAGCTGACAGTTTACCTGTTCAACCCAGCCAGATCACTCAGTCACTAACCTCAATTTCTCCTTTATGTACATACATGGTTCTTGCTGGTACTAGATCTAGCTTTTTGCATTTTAATTTTATGAAAATATGAAAATAAATGTCCCAATACTGTGATACCCTTCAAGTATTTTCTAGAATGTTGGAGAACTATGCTTAAGCCTTTGAAACCAGGGTTGCAGAGTAGCACTTCTCAAGCTTTTTTTTTTTTTTAAATTTCTTTTAGAGATAGGGTCTCACTGTGTCACCTAGGTTAGAGTGCAGTGGCATCATTGTAGCTCACTGTAGCCTCAAACTCCTGGGCTCAAGCAATCCTCTTGCCTCAGCCTCCCAAGTAGATGGGACTACAAGGCATGCGCCACCACACCTGGCTAATGTTTTACTTTTTATAGAGATGGGGTCTCACTATGTTACCCAGGCTGGTCTCAAACTCCTGGCCTCACAGGATCCCTAAGCACTGGGATTACCGGCATGAGCCACCGCACCTGGCCACTTCTCCAGCTTTTAATGTGCACACAGATCACCTGGGGAGTCTTGTTAAAATGCAGATTCTGATTCAGCCGGTCTGGGGTGGGGCCCAGGTTCTGCATTTCTGACCAGCACCCAGGTGCTGCTGGTTGGTGGACCACACTTCGAGTAGCACGATTCTAGGCCTCGCTCTGCCTCTAAACCATCCGCAGCTCAACTCTGCCTGCAGCATTTTTTAGAAAGCCAAGGAGGCTGAAGGAGGCAGATTTGGAAGAGTGCATTTAGCTAGAGCCCAGCTAGGCTCTCTGGAAGGATAGTGTGTAGTAGTTATTTCCAATGCAGCTGTTTATGTTCAATTGCAGCGAAACATGGGATTTTTCTGTAAAACAGTTACAAATCACCCACTCATTTCCTCAGAGCCCTTCCCCAGAGGCTCAGCCTCTATTCAAAGGAGGTCCCACCCATCTCTCTGAAGCTGGCAGGCCCTCACCAAGGAAAGAGTCAAGTCTCGGCCGTTTTTCTGGGACATGACCAGCAGGCATGGGTGGAGAGGGTGTTAGAATGACGAGTCTTGTTGGATGCTGAACACACAGGAAGCCCCAGTTAGTCGCCCTCTGGTTTTCCTTCTGGCATCCCCACCCTTGGCCCCTGCAGTGCTAACCCCTTTCCCCTTTTGGGTAGGCGGTCTTCAGAGGACGCACAGATCTGTTACTGACTCTTGCCTTTTCTCTCCCCTGGGTCTGCAGGCTGCTCTGGAAATGCTGCTGCTGCGGAAGCCAGTCAGGTTAAAATGCCATCCTTTAGCAAATTACCACTATGCTGGTAGGTTGCCAGAGCCCTGTGCCCTGTTGCTCCCTGCGGGTGGGCTGCTTGCATGTTTGGTTGTGGCGCTTGTGACTAATGGATAACACCAGTTCTGTCCTAATTGCCACTTGTGAACTCAAGGCCTCTGGGGCCTCACTGGTGGGGGCGGTGAGTCTATTGGCTCAGCATCATCAGCCCTTTGTGTAAGCTCCTGCCCCTCACTGGTGCGCCAGGACCTGGGCAGTAGTGGACGGTGCCTGCACATGGGCAATGAGACCAGAAGGAGCCACAGAGGTACGGCACAGAGCCGACAACAATCAGCAGCCCCGGCTTTGGAATCAGTAGCCATGGGTTCAGATCTGACTGCACACCTTAGCCACGTCGCTTGGCCTTCTGCAGCCTTGGTTTTCTCCCCTATAAAATGGGGCTTGTGTTCCATCCCTTGTAGCATTTTTGCGAAGATGAGAAATGATATGTGTAGCCCAATGCCTGGCACATCCTGGTAGCTATTATTACTCGTTTATTCCACAATTATTTGTTGAACACTCACTGTGTGCAGGGGACTATGCTAAGCACTGAAATGCAACAGGGTCTATGACAGCCATAGACATAGTCCCACCTCGTGCAGTCTGCAGTCTGAGGAGGAGGCAGTTACCAAACAATGGGTCTCTCTAATGGCAGGAGAAAGACTTCATACACACAGGGTCTTGTGAGTGTGTGGGTTAATGATAGCACCACCGTAAGAGGGGAGTACAAGACACCTTTGACATTTGAATGGAGTGAGAATTGTGAAGAGAGAAGCAAGCAGGCTGGGGAGCCTAAGAGGTGACGCCTGCAGCTGAGGTCAGCGTTTTTATCTCCATTAACTCTGATCCACCTGTCCATTCTGAGGGTCTCCACGAACTGCCTTGGTTCTCTGTTTCAAAGAGGGCAGAATCTTCTGATGTCCCCTGATTTTTAATCTTTTGAGGTTTTCTTTGGTGACTTGGGCTGACCCTGCCTAGGCAGGTGCTAAATACATAGGCTTGGGGACCTAGTAATACCTTTTCCGATCCTCGGTGCAGGCGTCCAGAGATGGCTTAAGGTGAGGGCTTCTTTACAAATGCTGGCACATTCTCAGTGGGCTGTCTTTTCCCACCACCGTTTGCCTCACCTGATGTGCTCCTCCTCTCTCACGCGGTGGCTTTCCTGCCTGTCATCACAAGGTAGAAAGGCCTCGAAGCCCCTCATCTAAGCACGGCAAGCCCAGGGATATCTGTGCCGGCACAAAATGGACACATGGGATAAGAAATCCATCATTTAACCAGTGGCCTAAAGGAGCCAGTTTCTTAGTATTGTCTCCATCATTTCCTGCTTGGTGTCTGCCCTGAGTGTGGGTAGAAAGATGTGGGAGTTCTCCCTAATATGCCATGGAAACAATCCAGTTTTCTGTTAATTCCCGGCATCATCTGCCGCCCATTAAACCCCGATGGGCTGTCCAACCTCCTAGAGCCTATGTCAAGCTTCTTTGCATAGTGGGTGAGACAGCAGGCTGGCTAAAAGGAGCTTCCCAACCATGTGCTGTGAGATGCTGCTGCCCTCAGCCGTCAGGGTGGCCCGGGTGGCCGGAGTCATGGAGCCTCTGGGTTGGTCAACTCCAGCTGTCAGCAAATTCATCTGTCAGCAACTTCAACTTCAACACAACTCCCTTCCAGTTCTTCCCAGCGTGCCCAACAAGTGTCACTATTTCTATGTGTGCCGTGATGTGAAAAAGGTCAGAAAGCTGTAGACTAGAAGCCACACACACCCCCAAACAAAACAAAACAAAAACACTAAAATATTACCAAAAACTTTGAACTAGAGGATCCTAAACTCTGCTAAAATTAATCGATCTTTTAAGGTTGGGGGTTCCTAGCTAATCCCTTGCCTGTCCCCTGCCCCCTTCCCCCACAGGCAGACCAGGAAGGACTCTGCTGCTTTCTGGAATCATTCTGACCCTTGGAGGCAAGAGAGGTGGAGCTGAGCTGTGAAGGGTTGGTGTCCCCAAGAGAAGGGTGCTCACCTATGTCTGCCAGTCACTTGCCTTCTTCAGGAAGTGATCACAGACTGGGCCTCAGAGAATCTTCTAGAATTATAAGCAAAAAGGGCAGAGGTCACTGGTCTCTAAAGTCTGACCCAAAACCATCCCCTTAATGGTTCCTTTACAAGCCACAGGGGAGGTAGCAGAGTCTACCCCATCACATGTGGCAGCTGCCAGCCACCAATCACCTTGTTCCCCCACTTCTGCTCCCTGCCTCGCTAGGTCCCCAGGTGTCAGTGAATCCCATCTCCGTTGCCCCATCCTGCCTTGACCTTTGTGCTAAGCCCTATTGGATGCTCTCCAGTACGGACTGTCTCTTGGCTTAATTCCACCCTCACCGGGACACTGTCTTCTGGATCTCCTTTGGCTTCTGACTCTGCGTCATAGCCAGTGTCACCCACCCCAACTCCCAGCCCTGAATTTGCTTTCCAGGCTCCTGATTCTCTAGAGGGGGTTTAGGTCTCCCAGACCTGTCTGTGCCCTGGAGGGAAGGCAGCAAGACTGGGCTTAGGGGAGAGAGGCTACAAGTTTGGGGGAGAAAGAGACACAGGCCTGTGGAAATCGCTTCCTTACTTTACTCATTGTCTTCTCTTTCCTAGCCATCCCAAGCAATTCATTAAGAAGAGGAAAAAGTGACCAATGCTGGGACCCAGGAGAGACATGCCAGGGGGAAAAGGACTGGTGGGGTGGGCAACTTACCCAGATCTAAGGGCTGCCTGGCAGGGCCAGAGGAGCCCTGTGCAAGATCCTTGAGGAACGTGCTATTGCAGTGGTTCCTGGTGGTCAGTTCTCACCAGGATGCACGGTCCAGGCCTCTGTCCCCCTCTCAGCACCCTTCCACCCACGTGTGCATAGCAGTTGTTTGCAGTTGTTCCCATTAGCACTTGCACTGGGTGGAGATGGGCCGCGCGTCGGGGATTCAGGCGGGGGAGGACGCCTGGTTGTGATTAGGATTGTGGCATCCTTGACTTTCCCATTGAACTGGCCATTCCTGCGGATGGGTGCAGAGTGGAGGGGGTGTTAGAACTGACCCTGGCTTTTTGGCAAGAGTTCAGCAGAAGCTACTGTCAGCTCTAACAACAGCCCAAACTCTCACTGGGTCCTGAGACCCTGATGTGAGCTCTGGAGAGAGGGGAGACCTGGAAGAAATACTCGTTGGAAGGAGCCTGGTCTCTGCCTTGGAAGCTGCCCCAGTTAGATGAGGAAGCAGAATTACATACTCAAGAGAATACTTAGCAAGAAACACAGCTGTGATTTCATTTTCCAGGCATTCTTAGCCCATGTCTCTAGCTAGATAGTGGTCCCCTCAAGGGCAGGAACTGAGTTAATACTTACTCTCTTGCCTTGCCTGACACAGCACTTGTAAATAAGCACTTAGCCAACAAGCTCAAATTCTGGATTCAGATTGAGGCCTCCCTCCCTTTTGCCCCCAGAGAGAACGTTTGTAGCAGCCTGCTTCGCCTTGTGCCGCTAAAAGAGTTATTCAACCTTCACCCACTGTGGAAAACCCTACACGGAAATGCAGACCTGGTGTAAAAGCAGCTCTCTTTTTTCTACAATCAACATGTCTTTCTTGTGTAACTGCAATGACATCAATAGAAGTTTTAAAAGTCCAGAAAGAAGACCGAAAGGCCCTCTAAAAGTTACTGTGCCCAAACTGTCACCCTCCCATGTCTCTTTTTAATTGCCTGTGTTCACTATAGATGGCCCCAAAATTAGCCACAGTCCAGAGCCTGTTTCCCAGCAACTGAAGTTCAAACAGTTTTCTTCTAGATACTGTTCCAGCACCTGTTTCATCCAGTTAATTAAGTTCTTTGTAATTAGCCTTAATCGTCTTGTTAGGGGCCTGCTGATAATAGCCCAATAGCCAGGAATCCCCAGGTAGAACAAATGAGTCTGGGGGGACTGCCAGCCCACGAACCCTGTGTGCATGCTGAGTGGGCAGCAGGGGTCTTAGAAGGGAGGGCAATGGGGCACAGAAAGATAGGGGAGGGGCTGGGCATGGCAGCTCAGGGTGGTACTCCTAGCACTTTTGAAGGCCAAGGCAGGAGGACTGTTTGAGGCAAGGAGTTGGAGACCAGCCTGAGCAAGAGTGAAATCCCATCTCTACAAAAAAAAATAGAAAAATTAGCCAGACATGGTGGTACGTGCCTGTAGTCCCAGCTACTAGGGAGGCTGAGGCAGGAGCATCGCTTGAGCCCAGCAGTTGGAGGTTGCAGTGAGCTATGATGATGCCACTGCGCTCTAGCCAGGGTGACAGAGCAAGACCCTGTCTCAAAAAAAAAAAAAAAAGATAGAGGAGGATTTGAGACAACCCCCACCTCAGCAACCTCCTGCATTTTATCCTGGACTTTGTCCATGATTCAGAATTCAAGAAAGGCTGGCTTAGAACCTCATCTAAGAATGAGGAATGTGCCCCCATCAAGACAGACTACAGGAACAAGAGGTACCCAAGCCTTGCCTTGACTCTGGATGGCAGAGGGATCTTGGAGGCAGGGAGTAACAGACTGCGGAAGCTGTGAGCAGCCAGGAGTGAGGCCGTGGGATCATAAGTACAGGGAACAGGGAGCACTCACAGAACAGGTGGTCTTCCCGAGTGCCACTGTGCACTCATCAGCAGGGGACAGCACTTGTCTCATAGCCCTGGGCTGATTTGGAATCTGCTTTCCAAGTGGCCAGTGAAGATCCAAAACATCTATTGAGCACCTACCTAGGACCGAACACAGTCAGTCACAGGGTGGCTGCCACCATCCGCATGTCACAGGTGAGGAAACTGAGACTCAGAGAAGTTAAGTAGACTTGCCTGGGGTCACAGAAGGGTAAATGGCAGAACGGGGTTCACAGCCTAAGGTTTCCTGACTAAAGTCACCCTTTTTATCACAGCTCAGTGATATTAGTTGGAGAGAGCTCATTCAGTTGTTATTTAACTGTACGAGGCTTCGGCCTGGGAATTCAGCCTGAGAGCCCAGGGGTAGGGTGTCAGCGTCAGCAGGCGATCCTGGGAGAGCAGGAAGGCAGCTCCAGTGTGGGAGTGAGGACAGATTTGTTGGCTGACCCAGCCTCCTTTCTTGCTTTGTGTACGCCCTGTTGGACAGACACACACACACAGCCTTGTCATGTGCACTAAAGCAAGACCCTAGGACTAAAGCCATCTCTTATAGTCTAAGCCCATGCTCCCTGACCCAGACCCTGCAGCACCGAGGGGAAGGGAGAGTGTGCAGCCCACTTCCCACCCAGAATCAGGAAGACAGAAGAGCCCATCACAGAGCAGCAGTCCTGAGAACCACAAGAGTCGGCAGGGGGAAAGTCTCCTTCCCCATAAGGTTTGGGGATCCCCCGTAACAGGATGAGACAGGAAGCTACTTCACCCTCTGTGGGGTTGCACCTGGTACCCATTTGGAGACACGAAGGGACATGCTTCTCCGAGGTAAACAGACCTGGGGACTTAATGCTGCTTTTTGGGCCAGAAGTCAGATGATGCGTCCAGCATGAGATGGAAGGAAGTTATTCGCTGTAGAGACAGGTTTTGGCCCGTGCAGGCTGGATGGCCCTGTTGGTGTCTCACCATGTCTTAGAGCTGCACTCGAACTCAGGAAACGTATCATCTGGCTGAGGTTGGATAGAGTTATCATTGATCTATTAATAGTTGAAGGCTTCATCCGTCCCCTGATTCCACATCTGAGATGCAACCAAGGGCTGCTCAGGCTCTGGACTTGGCAATGGGGCAGCACATCAGCCTCCTTATAAGCTTGTATGAAAGCTGGTGTGACACGTTGCCATTGTGATCTTCCTCCATCATTATCTTTCGGACCCCTCTTACCTGTTTGCTGTTTTGATGGATACCTAAAGGGAACCATGACTGTTCTTTGGCTGTTCAACTAAACTGTTGGTTAATCCATTCTATCTTCCTCTTTCTGCCTCTGCTCCTGGGTAAGGGGAGCACAGATGGGAGCTGGAACCCCAGGCCTCGAATGTCGTGCAGATTTTGAGGAATGGTGATGGAGCTGCTACAGAGCCTTAATCCCACCCACCTTCTCTCCTCACGTGCGTTCCAGCGAGACTTCCCCAAACTCCTTGCCCCCTTCCCTCACCGCTGCTGTGGTGTGCACAGCCTGAGATGTCTGGGCCTCTAGAGCCTGTGGAAGATGCTTCCTTCTGCTGAGGATTCATGGAAAGCTGCTTTCCTTCTAGAAGTAAAGAGATAAACTTGCAAACCAAATAAATTGGGTGGTAGCCTGCTTTTTAAGAAATCTGAACCAGCCCAGGTGTAGAGAGCATATTCTGAGTCTAGAGCCAGACCTCTTGGCTCATGGACCCATCAAGGACTCGGACAGAGAAGGTGTTCGTTTAAGAAATCTGAGTTTTCACTGGGCCATGCATTCTGTCAGGGAGCTTGGGATCTCCACTTACAGTCTAAGGAGGCCCCTGCCTGCCCAGAGCAGTTTCCTCTGATTCACTTGTTTTGGCCAAACCGTAAAAGGGAAGAGGCGATTCAGGTTTCCCATACTTCAGCCCCATCAGTTGACCATAGCAAAATGGAAACCTTAGACTTGCCCTAGATGGGAAGAAAGATTCCATGGTTTGGGGTACTAGATCTCTGAGCAGAAGTGCAGAAATGTCAAAGGCCTGGCCATGTACCATCCAAAGGATCAGAGAGTTGGAGAATTCAGCAAGCCAGAAGAATGGGGCTGAGTTTTCTGTGAACCAGCTACAGATATTGAACCATTCCTAGAGCCCCCAGAAATGGGAATCCCCTTAGAAATAGTCCTTATTTCTTGCCCCAAACAAGTCAGTACCATGCTATATGATTATCTGCATGTCTTGCTTTCTCTTTTATGGAGGAAAAAGACATAACTATCAAGTTTAGTCAGCAAGGTAGAGGTACCAGCCCAGGACCATGGAGCCTCTTCCCCCATCACTGGTCTGCAGATCTGTCAAGAACTGGTCCTACTCACCTCTGGCCTCATCTGCTTTTTCTCTGCTGGAACCCTAAACTTGAATCATACAGGATTACTGATTATTCTTTGAACACTTCCATTTCTTCATCTGTAAAATGGGATAATAGTAATACCAATCTTACAGGGTCATTACTAGAACCAAATGATTAATAAATTGTAAAGTACTTAGAACCTGGCACGTAGTAAGCACTTATAAATGTTAGTTCTTTTTTCCTAGCACAGCGTCTTGCTTGTAGTATACATCTTATAAGTATCTGTTGAATGAATGAATGAGTGGATGAAGTGCATCACCCAACTCTTGCCTCTGATTTTGCACATGCTGCCTGACTTGTTTCTGTGTGTCCTTTAAAACTCAAGTGTTTTCTTTACCTGGAAGCCTTCCCGGCGGCCCTGGCCCTAACCTAAGTAGTGTGGTGTTCCTCCATTATGCCCCACTGGCATCTCACCTTGACCTTTATAATTGCAGTTATCACCTGCAATGCAGTGGCCAGCTGGTTTGTCTCCCCACCGGATTGTGAGCATCTGGAGGGTGGAGGGTGGAGACTGGTGAATCCAGCCACACCCTGAAGAGTGCTTGCTACATGAATGCTTGCGTTTGTGAATGTAATAATTACATAAAAACTGTACCTAAAAGTTTTTGAACGCTTACTGCTTCCTAGTTATTAAGCTGGACACTTGGTGCATTATATTCTTTTAACCTTCACAAAAATCCTAAGCAATAAAGACAATATAATTACTCCCATTTGTAGGTAACAAAACCGAGGCTTAGGATAAGTAACTTGCCAAGACCAAGGCCGTATCTGCGATTTGAACCCAGATGTCAGAGCTGCCGACCATGACGTTACACTGTTTTGGTTCCAACAGGGGTTTGCTATGTATTATATCACTTGCTAGACAGTTGTATTTTGTAACTTAACTAAATGAACCAGAAACTAAACGCAGGGAGGACTGTGAGCTGTTCTTATGAAGTTTGTGTTTTGTTGTAGGTTCGGACAAGTGGACCTCCCTAGAAAGAAAACTGTTCAATAAAGCACTAGCCACTTACAGCAAAGACTTTATTTTTGTACAGAAGATGGTAAGCATGGTTTTCCCCATTGCTCACTTGAAATTAAATTTGGGAAACTGTACACATACAGAAATATTAGAAATATTTGGTTACTGGTTTAACATTTGTGCAAAATGGATGGCGTCCACCCCTTGCTGGTGAAGGATGGTAGGTGATATAGGGGTGGCACGGCCCCAGTGTTGGGGGTGCAGGGGAGAGGACGAGGGAAGAGACATGGATTATTTGGACACTGCAATGATGGGGGTTATTTTCTGAGTAAAAATGTATAATTTATAATTCTGTCAGAATTACTAGAACAGGGGCTTCTGGTTCCTAGTTTACACAGTTTATTTCATGTGTATTTGACAGATCTATCATGTTTCTGACAGAAATTTTTCTGGGAAATCAGGGAAGGGAGGATATGTGGCCTCCCCCCTACCCAGGAGCAGTTTTTGGTGTTGGACTCATAATTATGACAGTAATAATGAAAATAATACCTGACATGTACAGCATTTTATAGCAAAATAACTCTTTCACATAGATGAAACAGCACTTTATACAACAGATAATAAATTTAATAGGCTTTAATTGGCTAAGAGGTATTTTAGGCTAAAAAAATTAAAACAGCCAGGCATGCTGGTATGCACCTGGGGCAGGAGGATCCCTTGAGCCCAGGAGTTTGAGACCAGCCTGGGCAACATAGCAGGACCCCATCTCAAAAAAAAAAAAAGAGTTAAAATGATTCACAGTGTTTCAACAATCTGATAAATGATGGAGCCATATTGTATTAAGGATAATTTAAGATGTTTGGGTACACAGAGAACGGGATCACAGGTGACAGCTCCCATTGGCTCCTGGCTGGGCCAGATGGTCCCCAGTGGTGTTCTGGGGTGGCAGGTCTCCTGTCGTGAATCTAGGGCCTTGCCTGGAGGAGCATCCGAAACAGGTGGGCTTTGCCTCTGGCTTGGCTCTGCCTCCATCTGGGCATTTGTGCCTGCCCATCCTGCCACCATCCCCTTTGCTGCCCTGCGTGCCCAGCAGCTCCCATGCTCCTGTCTTTCTTGAGTCGCCCTTCCCCAAGGACTGTCCTGGCCGGGGCCACACTCCTGGAAGGCCCCACACTGTTGATGGATGATGGATTCTTGTGTGGTGCTTGCCAGGAAGCTCGGGTTTTAAACAAGGGCTCTCTGGGACAGCATCCTCACCCCCGGGTGATTCTGGTGTAGAAATTCCAGATGTCAGGGGAATGTGACGGGGGCAGCTCCGAAAAGACAGGACTTCTCGTGGTATCCTTCCCATCTCACCGTGTAGGTGGCCGTGTTCCACCCCAAAGCTGGGGCCAGCCTTTACTCTGCCTCCAGAAAACCCACATTATTGACCCAACCAGAGCGTAGAGATACACAAACTAAACAAAGGAATGTTTTTGCCTTAAAACGTATATA